CACTGATCCCTCCTCAGAGCTCTGGCCTCCATTCTTTTCACGGTTAACAAAATGAATCCCAAACCCTCAGAATTCTATTTTGTCAAACTTAGACTTGGGCCACACAATTGGGCTTTTCCCATAATACCCTTACTAACTCTTCATAATGCCCAATTTACCCTTATTTCACTTATATTCATTTTAATCAATAATAATACTAATATTCTCATATAGTATACTATTAATTAAATAAATAGTCCAAAAATGCACATTTTCTCAATAATCCGCAATACCAACGAAAACCACCCAAAATACGAATATTCTCAATTAAATAATTAATTAAAATATTTCGCTTAAATTTGGGGTGTTACAAATGTTTAGAGAGAAAAAAGCTTTGGTCTTTGGTTTGAAAAGATTGGAGATCTTGGTTCAAAAAAGACGGGGGAGCTGGGTTCCCACAGACGACGCTACTAATCTAGAGTGATCAGAATGGATCGTCACAGTATTTAATGTAGGGAAGCAACAGTGGTTGTAGGAGAGAAGGGGGTGTATCTGCAAGGTACTCCGATGCCAAAGTAAGTTTGGATTAGAGAGAGAGAGAGCAAGTACAAGTGTTTAGGTATGAGTTAGAATGATTTGAATACCTGACCCTCTCAAGAGAGAGAGTATTTATGAGATTCCCCCAGCACGGGGCCAAGGTCTCCCATGTGGCCAAAATATCTGGTCGACCAACGGGAGACTGCCAGGTGGAAGATCTAGCGCGTGACCTTTGACCTGGTCCAATTGTCCCTGTGAATTCCGGAGGGACAATTGATCGCGTGAACTGTCAAGTGCGTGAGGGGGATGTCCCCAACAACTATATTCTCCAACGGCTATATTGTGCCAAACGGTCATATTGTACCCAACGGCTATGTTGTACCCAATGTCTATATTGTGTCCAAAGGTCATATTGTCTTAATCTCCTTATTGGGCCTTACCTAAAGCTGGACTGGATTGAGTCTCGTCCAATTGTGGGTCATGTGCCAGTCTAGCCCATAACAACTTCATTAATCGATTTTTTTTATATTTCATTAACCAACTTTGTCCACTCTTAAAAAGTCATTCTTCATATACTGTGTACGAAAGGAGACTGTTCACGTACATATGTACTGTTCACTGGGTAGTGTTTATGTTACTTATGTTACTGTTCATGCATTGTTCTGCATTGTTCACGTGTACGACACTGTTCACCATATTAATGAATAGTCATATGGTGTAGTGTATGCTTTTAGTATAAGCATAGCATTGCTGAGAATAAGAAATGATATTCTTACACCTACATCATATTTTATTGTTTACTAATATGGTGACTAATGAAATATTATAATATTTTTGTAATTATTATTTTTCATTGTATATTTTTTTATTAAGGAGTACCGATATAAAATTGTGTGATCAACAACTTAATAACTTCATAAACCAACCTTTTATATTGTACCTAACTTAAGTGACTATTCAAAATTATTTTTAATATCTGAACATTTATTAACCAACTTCATAACTTTATTAACCAACTTTTTACTTTTCATACACCAACTTTGGTTTACTATTAAAAAGTATTTTTAATATAGAGCCTTTTGCTAACCAATTTTATCACTTCATTAATCAATTTTTTTATATTTCGTTAAACAACTTTGTTCCCAAGGCCGGCCCAACATATTTTGAGGTCTAATGCAAAAATTTAAATTAAATATTTTAATATAATAAAAATATTTTAATTTTAGATTAATGAATTTTTGTTTTAGATTTTTGAAATTTTAATCAATTTTATTTTCAATTAGTAATAAAATAAACACATCTAAATACTCCGCTAATTATTTATAATAAAAAAAATTGAAAAAATATTACCAAAGTTCTTAAAAAAAACTTCAATTTCAAGTATTTTATATAAAGGAATTTAAAAGTTTATTATTTATAAGTATGACTTTTAACGTAACCTTCTTTAATGGTGTGTAAGATGGATTATCGGATAGAATTCAAAAGAATTCACGACTAAGTCGTAGCTAAAAAGAACTTAAAAACTATTGATTATGTTTAAACAATAACAAAATAGAGCTCTGCTTTATTGTTTACAATTAAACCTTGATTACTCTGAAAATTTAAGATGATCTTAATTGATAAATTAATCAATTATACAACATATATCTTGAATGTTTCTTATTATCAGAAACTTTTAATAGATACTGTTATATAATTTGTATAGAAAATAATTTTAATTTTTTTAAAATATCAATTAATTAAAACTATATAAATATTTATTTAAAAGTGAGACCCTAGACGGTATAACTTTGTTAGCCTACCCTAGGGTCGGCCCTGTTTGTTTCATTATTAAAAGGCATTGTATATGCACTGTGTATGGATATTATTCACACATATATATTGTTCACCGAATAGCATTTGTGTTCCTGTTCATTCAGCATATACACCAGTATTCATCGTATTAGTGAATAATGGATACAGATATAGTGTATGCTTTTTATTGTAAAAATAGCATTGCCGTAAGAGTATGAACCGATTTTTAGAATTTGTATCCAATTCCGCATGTGCCGCCGCATACCTTTTGAAGGACATGTCAAAAAAATCATTGGATTCCGTGGGGGAGTGTATGACTCATGAGTCCCAACAAGTCAAATATATTAGGTTTGGTGGTGACCAAACAAATGATATTTTGTGCCAAATATAGACATAGGTATGCATTTCAAAATGGCAAAACATGTAACAAACCATCCCATGTGTTACAGAAGCCTAGGTGTTAATTGAATCAATACAAATTATTTATTTATTGAACAACAATACAAAGTTGTTCAACTAACTATATCTTGTAAATTCAGTCCAGAGTGATGAACAGTGAGCTGACATAGTCAATAATATACAGAAGTAACACTTTGATAATTAAAGAGGAAAAGTCTGCCATCATGATAGTACTTTATCGGTAAGAAAAAAACTATTAGTACAATTCATAAGTTGTAAAAGTTATGTTTAAAGTTATCCATGTGAGATGCACTATTTGTTGGAATAATGCTTGTGCAAATAGTACTGTAACCGTTTGAGGGCAAAAGAGCACTAGAGTTTGGTGGACACAATTGCATGCCACAGTAAAAAGGGACTGTTTTAATTACATTTTCTTTCCCTATATAATAGTCATAAGGAAAAAAAACACTACCTACTTTAGCTTTTCTACCTGGTCTATTTGAAATAGGCTATTCCATCCGTTTCAAAATAATTATTTGTATAAATTTTTTTGCACACAAATTTAAAAGTGCAATGATATTATTATAAAATATTACATTTTTATTAAATTAGTCTTATTAATGTATTAGAAGTAGTGTATAAAATAATAATAATATGACACAATTAAAAAAATATTAATTATTATTATATTAAAAATTGAGAACGACATCATTTTAAAATAGAAGGAATATTTCACAGTGCATAATTAGAAAAAAGAGACAATAGGATCGATACATATCTTATGCATTTAAAAAAAATCATGATTATGTACTGTTTTTATAAGTGATTAGTATTTATGTTAGTATTTTCCTCTTTGTTAGGAATCAAATCCTTCAAACCGATTGTGATCTTTTTTAAATATATCACTCATGAAGTTTCTGTTCAGCTACAACCCGAGCTGACTTTAGAGACCATGATGGAGCATTCTATTGATATATTTTCATGTGTATAGAAATGGAGTAAGATTCCACAGAGACAACATTATTTGAAGAACCAAATAAGTGCCAAACATGTTATGATAGCAGACAAAGAAGTTTAGGAGTATTCTGCAAATCAAATAAAATCTATATAATGGCACAGAGATTGTTTGCCTACACTTTACTATGCAGATCAGACATGTACTATGGAATCTATGTAGACCAGCCACTGCTATTTGCACTTTGTCCCTAAGAGTTGCGGCGCTTGGACTTACATTTTTAATGGCTTATCACTTTTTTCTTTGCCGTTGTATGAAGGTTATCCTTGAGTGAAGGTTATTTGGATTGGTACACTTCATGATGACCCTTAATTTCTTAGTACTTTAATTAAGAACATGAAACCAACAAGTATTTAATTCTTAGTAATGCATATAGCGGATATATTTCTTGATGGTTAATTGGAACGTAGAATTAATCTCCTCTGCTATCACCATAAACATATACATTAACTTATATTGGACTATATTTTGTCAAAATAAGTAATAAAACTATTTTTATACTTGTATGTTACATTTTAAAAAAATATAAAACTCCATCAAGCCAACTCCAATAATATTTATGAATTGTTAATGAAAATTACAAGCGAGTTCAAACTTATAATATTCTTTTTATTCATCTTTTGACTGAAAAACTAAAAACTGCAGAGAATAGAATCAAATTCTTCTTCCAAAAACCTTACCTTTTTGTTTTCTACCATTTCTTTTGAGCACCACTCAATTTGTTCCATTTATAATGCAACTTATGCAAGCAAAGATGAAATATAGTAACAGCATCCTCACTCAAAGTGTAATACAAAAATTTTAAAAACAAAATCACAACTGAATTTGGATTCGGATCTTATCTCACATGTGACAGCGGGCTGAAAGAAAATATTGGGCTGCGCCACAGATCCACGGGAGAGAATCCGAACCCAAACCCGACTCTGACCCAAATTAGAAAAAGCACAAAAATCAAAAACCTGAACATAAAAGATGATTTTTTTTCCATAAACTTTTGTTCTCTCCTTTTCTGGTGATGTCAACTGTCATCATATCATGCAAGTAGTACCCTTTTAACCTCACAACATTTGTTTTGCTATACGCCAGCTAATTCAATACATTCATTCAACCCCATCACCAACCACTCTTTCTCTCTCTAGTATTTCACCCTCAGATCTCTAACATTTTCCTCATATTTCAACAATATATATACTTATACACCCCCTTTGCTTTTCTTTGTATCTATTTCATTTTACACCCACCCATATAGTTTTCTGCTCAAAAACAGAGTCTTTTTATGGAGAAAATGGCGAATGGGTTGGAAAAGGTGAGTGGGTTGTCAATGTTCAGCGAGGAAGAGCTCGGAGAAATGAGTGGGGTGAAGCTTCTTGATGACTATGTTGAAGTCACGTGTGGGTGTACCAGTCATAGATACGGTGATGCTGTTGGTAGACTTAGGGTTTTTCTTAATGGCTATCTTCAAATTATTTGTGAATGCACCCCTGGTTGTCAAGAAGGTTTCTCTCTCAATCTCTCTCTCATCAGTTTCTTTGCTCTTTCGTTCTTGTGCATGTTGATAGCTGTCTACTAATTTCAGTTTAATGGCTATTCGACATAACCAGATATCAATACCTGATATCTGATACCAGATATCTACATCTATCCCTGATATCTCGATACCTGATATCTGATACCAGATATCTATATCCATACCTGATATCTCCATACATATCTATATATGTCAATATATATCTGGTATCCATATCGATAGATATCAAAATCTGATAACACAGACACTTAGTTACATTGACTTTCTTAAATTTGTACGGATGTCTCGTGTATGTGTCAATGTTAATACTTCATGTATTGATAGTTTATGGTTGGGTGAGGGTTTGACTTTGATGAGTTTTATTATGAGGTTGTGTTGATCTGCTTTGTGCGTGAGTCTGTGATGGAAGTTGGACAGTTTAAGTGTATGTTGATTTGCCTCAATGAACTTGATGGTTTGATACTCTTTATGATCAGGCTAGATGAATGTTTATCATATGCAAATGTGGAATATTCTTAATTAGCATGCTGTTTTTTTGTGAGATTAAATTAAGTATGGTTAATTTTTTTGTTGAATACCACATATCCGTGCCACTTATATATTCTTTTATTTGTTGGTAATTGGGGTGAAAGTGTGCTATCACCAATGGTTAAGCTTAGAATCTAACAATTTTCAGTTACTATTCTACATGCAATATCAAGTTGTAGTTGTTCCATGTATTCACTGCAGTGTAGTCAAATTTCTGTCATGGCAGCACTAGGCAGATTTTGTGCTAGCCTCCACTGTGCGCAAACCTATTACCTTAGGCTGAAACAGCATGTATATATGTCGGGTTTCTGGGCTGCCGCCATATTCATCCATCCATCACTGATAACATTGATCCACTTTGTGCATTATTTTATTACTTGAACATTGATATATGCAAGTATATCAACATGGTACAGTATCTGTTGATGCAGAAGGACCAAGATTTAGGGATTTAAACTAGTGTAATGACAGATACTTCGGAAATCTTGTATGTGACATTTCAGGATGATGTCATAGCACTACATGAGACGTGCTTAAGTAATTGCTTAACATATTATACATGAAATATACTCACACAAGAAAATATAAACAAAAATGATAAGAGAATAGATTTATTGCTCCCATTCTGGTAGTGTTTTGACTGAGACGAGTACTAGTTTATTTCGTTTATATGACTAATTCGTGTATGTGATGGACAAGGTAGGTTGACGATCCTCATGTTACCTTCAATTTAATTTTTTTAGTATGATTTAAATAATTTCAGTCAATATTAGTGAAGGATTTTCTTTTGGTCACAATCATATATCTAGGTGTTATAATGCCATTATGATTCTCTATTTTGCATTCTATGTATTGTTGAATCCCAAAATAATATTAATGACTTTTTTTCTCCTTCATGACATCAATTTATGCATATGGTGTTCTAAATGATAGACAAGTTGACTCCTGCTGCATTTGAGAAGCACTCTGGAAGAGAGACAGCAAGGAAATGGAAGAATAATATCTGGGTTATAGTTAATGGCGAGAAAGTTCCATTGTGTAAAACAGTGCTGCTCAAATACTACATTCAAGTATCAAAAGCTGCTAATAGCTCTCAGAGATCCCAAAATGGTCGGGTTGGTCACCGTGATGAGTTTGTTCGCTGTACTAGGTGCAACAAAGAGCGTAGATTTCGTCTGAGATCCAAAGATGAATGTCGCATTCACCATGATGCTGTGGCAGATGCAAACTGGAAATGTTCTGATCTTCCATATGACAAGTAAGTGTAGTCCCTCACGATGTACATTTTCACTATAAACTAAAAAATAATTCAGCAATTTATGCTTTTAATGTTTGATGACTTAGATATATTAAGTCTGCCTACGTTTCAAAAATTCATCATGCTTCATATGGATTTTGATTACACCAAATAGCATCTGTTATCTGCTGTATAAAGTTTGGAAAAATTTATAGGAAAATCTTAGTTTTGATATTCGAGATTTCTGAAACAAATTTCATGTTTCGTAAATGATCAATTTCAATATTATGAGTATATGCTGCTCATCACAGATTGAACAGCTTTGTGCAGAAAATCACATTTTGAAAATTATTGAAAAGAAAACTATCTTGATAATGACACGTATCTGGAAGCATTCAAGTTACCATGTAAAAGAGAATAGTAGGTCTGGTTGTGGCGAATAGGAGTGGTGTTGTATAGAGTAGAGACTCCATTCAAATTTCTCCTGAGACGTTATGGAGCAAAATCTATTGAAATATGGACTTTTACTTCTAGTAATCAAAACAATTTAGTTTTTTTGAGAATATGGGGTAGAATGGAATGAAATGAAATGAGAGAACATCCAATTTTAAAAATATAGCCAATCTAATCCATTCCATTTCATTCCTCTTCATTCCATCATGTACAATCAATCCAAAAATATACCACCCTATCTTGAATTCATGTAACACGCTTGCCTTTTCGGCCTTTTGTGGATATATATATATATATATATATATATATATATATATATATATATATATATATATATATATATATATATATATATATATATATATATATATATATATATATATATATATATATATATATATATATATATATATATATATATATATATATATAGGTTGTTTTAAATGGTTAAAAGAAAATAATCTCTTTGCAATCACTACTAATCTATAATTTATTAATATCTGAACTGGTTTATTCATCATATCAGTTTTAATGTGATATACTTATATTGGGTTTAATTTGTGTTCAATTTCGTCTAGAAGATGGAATGCAATTTTTGTAGAAGTGTCAAAGTTAAGGATAGTAGATTTATAGTACCGGGTTGTCAACATTTAAACCTTCCAACTTTGTTGATGCTATTTAGACTGTTATGCTCTTTAGAGCAATAATTACCTCCAATTATCTTATCAGAACCAGTACTTTTCTCGCCTATCAAACACGTTATTTCCAGTTACTATTGCTCTTTAAGTTGTCTCTTTTTGTAACGCATGTGTTTTGCTAACTTTCTTTTTTCCTTGGAATGGATTGAGTTTTATTTTTTGATGTACTGAAAGGTTCATACAGGGTAACTACGGGGTGACTATAAGTTCGAGTTCATTTTTTACATGTATTGCTGGTTTTATTGGGACTAGAGTTTCATTGTTAAAAAGAACATGAATGATTATATACTCGATACACCAGTAGTGCTATATTCTTTGGTCTTGGAGCGTAAACCCATTTCATCTTGTACTGTCATGTATTGAACCAATTATTTCTAGTACTTAAGCTATTTGATGAAAACATAAAAATGGTTTTTTATGTCCAATCGCGTAATTGTTCTGGTTTTACATCGACAGTACTGGCTTGTTTTTCAGGATAACATGTGACGATGAAGAAGAACGAGGAAGTCGAAGAGTTTACCGAGGATGCAGTCGGTCTCCAACATGCAAAGGTTGCACTTCTTGTGTGTGCTTTGGATGTGACATCTGCCGATTTTCAGATTGCAGCTGTCAGACCTGTACTGACTTTACTAGCAATGTAAAAGCTTGAGTGAGTTCCCAATACTTGTTCCGATGGGCTTGTTACTTATGCCTATATAGAATATTAGAAATGTGCTTAATTTCCTAATTGGACATCACCAATATGAGTTCGTCTTTAATTGTTCTCATTGACTGGATCATAAATTTCAATGGAAAGGATTTTCTAGCTTCATAGATTTTCATTGACTTGGATTTTAAAAGTATAAGAAGTTCGATTGCTTGCTCCTTTAGTCCACTATTCAACTCATTTAACGACTAATTTATGATGTTATTCAAGTAGTTTATATGATATTGATGCTCAACTTTCACAAAATTGAATTTACGATGTTATTCAAGTAATTTATGATGACAAAACAAAATTGAATAAAAAAAGAAACACATCAGAAAACAAATTGGCACATGTATAATAAAATAAATTGACTTTTCTAAAAAGATATCACAACCAAAGTTCCTTTGAGTTAACACTTTTGTGCTAAAAACCAAACACATATAGCACTCAAAATGTCTTAAGACTTTTGTTGCAAATTTTAACAAAGTTTATTAGCGACAAAAATGGTTCTTCAAGTTTTCATAGCATCTAAGAGCAATTTTATGTGAGAATTTATGTTTTTCTTCCGTAAGAGTGCTATTGCCTGCAACAATTGTTGGTGTACGCCATTTCTAAAGAAGTGAAATTATGTAATTTCTATCAAATTCATGATTATGGCACTTCCTCGACATTAACTTTAACTTGTGCTATGATGGGTAACTTGTATTATAAGTTACTTGACAAGTGATGATAAATTGAGAAAAAAAATTAGAAAGTGATTGAAGAATAAGATTTTCTTTTTATTATTATTGTGTATATTTCGATTACAATGAAGGGCGATATTTATAGACACACTAGCTATCTAAATCAAATTTAAAATAAACTATCTAAAACATTTTGATATATCCATTCAGTTATATGATATACCCACCCGAGTATATTCTTAAAACAAACTAAATTAACCACAATACCATTATATTAAATTATCTAAAACAATATGATATATCTACCCAATTATATGATATACCCACCCGGGTATATCCTTAAATCAAACTAAATTAACCACAATACCATTTCTAATTCAGATTTGTCACGCTTCTCATTTCCATTGACTTCTTCAAACCTTTAAACCTTGCTTGCTTTAAGGGTTTTGTCAAGATATTTATTAATTGCAACTCTGTCTTGCAATGTTCAATAGTTAACCTTGCTTTGCTAACTTGATATCTAAAAAAGTGATACCTCTTTTTTATATGCTTACTTCTACCATGACTCATTGGATAATTTGCTAGATTTATGGATGATTGACTGTCTACAAGAAACTTGATTTTTTCACAGTCACTAATGTTCAATTCTTCAAGCAACATGTCTAATCAAAGTGTTTGACATGCTGCATAAGAGGTTGCAACATACTCTATTTCACATGAGGACAAAACAACAATCCCTAACTTCTTTGAACTCCAAGAAATTGGTGTTGATCCAAGAATGAGCAGGTAACTAGTTGTGTTTTTCCTACCATCTTGATCACCACTCCAATTTGAGTTTGAGTAGCCACATATCCTTGCTCCAATTCTAGTTGCTTGATAGGCATTAGCACTTTGTGATCTGATGTATCTCTGATGTATCTTAGGATTCTTTTTACTGCAAGTATATGACATTGACTTACTTTGGTTTCTCCATGAATCTAATCACCAATACAACATTATGGCAAAGGCCAGGTCTTATGTTGCAGAGATACCTCAAAGATCCAATTATCTACTTATACAATGTGATATCAACCAATTCTTCTTCAGATTCCTTCTTCAGCTTGATGTTGGTCTACATTGTTGTGATAGCAGAGCTGCGGCAACTCGTCTTAAATCTCTTTAAGATGTCCTTTGCATATTTCTTCTGATGCAAAAAGTGCCTTGTTTGGTTTCCAAGATTTCCATTCTTAGAAAATATGCCAACTTTCCTATGTCAGAAGTTTCAAACTCGCTCTCCATGCTTGCTTTGAACTCTGTCAACTCTTCATCTGAACATGTAACCAATAAGTCATATACATAAATCTTAAAACAAATTAGTCTTGTTCATTTGAGCCTTTGACATAAACACCACGTTCTAATGTGTATTTGTTGAAACCTAGCTTGATCAAGAAGTTATTAATCCTCTTATTCCAAGCTCTAGGTGCTTACTTCAATCCATACAAATCCTTTTTCAATGAGTACATCAATCTTCTTGACCTCTTACCTCAAAATCTGGCGTCTGCTTCACATAGACTTCATCTTCTAGAGGTCCATAGAACACAGACTTCACATCAAGTTGGTGTATATTCCAACCTATGTAAGCTACTATGGCTACAACCATTCTCATTATATCAAGCCTAGCCACAGGTGCATAAACTTCATTAATGTTTACTCTAGGTCTTTAAAGTTAGCCTTTTGCAACCAACCTTGCTATGTACTTGGCAATTTCACCATCTGGTTTTAACTTCAGTTTACAAATCCATCTTACATCAATTGCTTTCTTGCCTAAGTTCTCAACTAGTTCCTATGTTTGGGTTTTCTTAATAGCCTTAAGTTCCTCAATCATTGCAGCTTTCCAATTTTCATCCTACATGGCTTGTACATGATTAATTGGTTCTGACTCAGCCATCATTGCTTCTTCAATCAACTCGCCATTTGTCTTGATTTATTGATCAAGAAATCTCTTATAGTTATTCAACTTGACTGATGAAGCTCTAGTTTTGCTTGATCATCTCACTCTCTGAGTTTGTGTTGGCTCATCTAGTGCAACATGTTCCTCGTGATGCATAGCAGTTATGGTGTGGCTTGAACTTTCACCTTCTTAAACTGAATTTTCTTGAATTTTCAGTCAATTCCAACATTTGCTTTCATCAAGCTCCAAATCCTTACTGATCACTGTAGCACCCTAAAATTTTCCCTTTTGTTTTTAACCGTAACTGACTTATGTTTCGTTTCTTTTTGCATTATCATTATGCATATCATGACATTGGTTCTTGGGACATGAGATCAAGTTGTTTCTATGGCTCAGGGTTTTCTTTTTATTGCAAGTTTTTAAGCAGCAAGCATCAGAGGCTTCAGCAATTATTTTGTTCAGCAATCGGTTACCAGATTATATTTTTGAGCAGGTTATTTCGAGCACTAGAGACAGTTCATAGTTTGTGTCAGGCATTATACAGGTGCAATATCAAATGACAAGTTTCAGAGGTAGAACAAAGCTCAAAACAAGTGGCAACAAGTCATTCTCCAAGTTTCCCTCCTTATAGCGTCCAAAATTTGAAATTTTGAATGTGGTAATCGATTACCACAATTAGGGTATCGATTACCTCAAGCAAAGTTTGCCATTTTGTTCACTTTTCAGCATTGCAACAATTTGGATTGTATTTTTGATCATGTCATCTCCATGTGCATCAGTAGAAGGATCTAGAATTGGTTCAAACTTGATTTATTTTCACAAATTAATTCCAATTCCCTCCAAAAAATTTCAAACATTCCATTCCTAATTCCACTCCTAATTTATATTCCAAACACTAACTCACACTCCAAACAACATTTTAATTTCTAACCTAGGGATTATTTAAACAAATTAAACCCAAACTTCTCATAAGTCTCACTCATTTTCTAAATTTTCTACATCTCTCATCTTAATCTCTCAACTTTTCTCTCATTCCAAAACCCTCACAAATGCTCCATAGCCAAAAGCTTCACAAATTACACATTGCAATTTGTGAATTCTTGAGCTAAACCTCCTTTACATCATCATCCTTGGTTCAAATCTGGTGTGGAAGTTCATTTGGATCTTGAATTAAGTTGTTGGAATCACTTTTGGAAAAGCTTTTGCATATTGGTCGATTATTGCTTGGATCTTCAAGTTTTCTTGCTAGAGCTTCATAGATCCTTGGATTTCTTGCTTGGATCTGTTAATTGCAGCTTAACAACACTCACCAAAGCAAATCTCAGCTTTGTAGGTTGGTAAATCCTAGATATAATTATGTTTTTGCTCAATCTTGCATTTCACAATGTAGATCCTTGTTTTCTTGGTGATCTTTAATCTATTGCTTGCTTTGATCTTGTTGTTTGATTGATGCAATTAGTGTTTTATTGTTGTGATTTGACATGATTTTCGTGCATAATTGATTACTTTTTCATTTGGATGATTGGATAAGTCATTTGCTGCTGAAATTTTTTTTTGAAAGTTGAAAATCTGCCATTGTCTCAGTGGTAGTCGATTACCACAATCAGGATAATCGATTACCCTGCCTTTTACACGTGTTTTTTTGAAGTTTTTAAGTGGGTAATCGATTACCCATATATGGTAATCAATTACCACTAAGACAAGATGTCTTTTTCTTCCTTTTTCAAGCTTGTTTGAGTTCCTTTTCATCCTTAAACTTCATGGGTTGATATAATGCATATATGTGGACCGTTTTGACATGTTTCAACATATTTGATAGCATGCTTGACCTTCTTTGACACGTGACTTTTGATTTTCTGTTGATGAACGTCTATGATCATTGCGTTGCATTTTTTTTTGTGTTAAACATGTTGCATATTCGTTTGCATGATGTTGATTGTGGATTCTTGATGACTATCTTACTGGACTTACATCACATTCTTATGTTGTTTCCGTTTCCGTGATTGCATGATCGTTCAAATTGTTTAATCGATGTTGAATGCATGATGTTCTCGTTGAATGTTTATTGGTGCATTTCTTGTTGAGTTTACTTGTGCTTAATTGTTAAAGCATGTTCATCAATTAGCCTTGTTTGATGTATGTTCATGATTGATCCTTACCATTTCATATGCTTTCGTTGCAACGTTCATGTGTGCATGTTGCCTGACGTTTCACACCTGCTGTTTTGAATTCTAACATGTTGTTATTTGTGCATCCATTCTGCCTGCTGCTTTTTACACCTGTTATGTGCTGAAATATGAGCTATTAAATGTTGTTGTGCTTATTTGTTGGGTTTTTATAGATGTTAT